ATGGGTGATAATCAATTACATATTTGAGTTTTCTTATCTTAGTCTCTGTCTCTTCTGTCTAACTTTATTAAGCTAAATGGATGCATTCATTTGCATTACCAGGGTCTCCCTTTTTAGGAAGATGCATTGCACTCTTGAAATTATACAAAGTGGAAATCAATATGGATGAATTGCAGAAAAAGCTGTCATGTTTACCTTGACCAAGCTGAATATTATGTTATAGAAGAGAGATGATATGAAGAGAAATATGAAGGAGGAGGTTTGTGACCACAGACTGCTGAACTCATCTTCTTCACCGGCATCGTCTGTGCAGCTCAGAGCAAAATTCAGATTTGAATCTAAAGGATATTTAAGAAGAGGAAGGTATAAGGGTTAGACGCTGGATGTATGTTTGTATGTGTGTGTTTGTGGTGTGTGTTAACAAAGATTTTTAGTAAGATATCATAGACACCATGCCTTTCTTAAATAGTGCTAATCAACTGGAATAAAGCATGATTCACTCTTTACTGTCATGTGTCGACATTGATTCAGTTAAACAGTGGTGCAGTGCAGTTTACTACTGTGAGGCTTCAGTGAAAACTACTCATACAAAGGGATTTTTTGTGCTTTGCTTCTCATTTTGTTTTAAAAATATCTAAGTCATTCATGAAAATATAACAAAAGTGTCTCCATGCAACATTTATTTAAAACAGTCAGCACATTTCTCAAGCTGTTAGACAAGTGACAAACACAATAACAGGACAAACAAAACTGAATTGACATGTTGACTCTTATATGCACAATCACAAAGATTGATGCACACGGTTCCCATGTCAGGGAGTATACACAGAGACATAATGACAATACTAGCACAAAACACAACATTTATAGCTGAATCCACTATTTGTCACATTCAATTGAGTTACCCATGGCCTTAGCCTTAGACACTTGAGAGTTGAAGGAGCGATTTGTGCCAGCAGACTTGATGTTGCAGTTGTAAATGAAATTCGCTTTCAGTTTTTGTTTGGTGTGGTGTAAACACTTGTGACTGAGTAGCCATGTTCGGTCTTTTGTGGCGGGAAGTCCAACGCCATCAGCATAGATGGGGGATTTTTGTCCATCATGTTCTGACCACGCAATGTAGTAATCCTGCTGCCAGGACTGGAGACCAGACACACCAGAGTGACCTTAGCTGAGTCTTCTTTGCCGATGTTTCTCCACTGGGAGGATGTTGACTGACACTTCTGGCTGACTGCCATCTGAAAGAGACACTTGGTTTACTAGGGTGCTTCTATATAAGATTTACATTTGCTTTACTGTATTACATGTTTGAGTGTGTAAGTTGGCTGCCTCCCCATGGGTTCACAGATTACTGTTTCCATCCCTCAGAACATACCTCCTTTGTGGACAGTCAGATCTTGAATAACTGGTGTCATATGTGCTCTAATGGCAGAACAGCGTACTTTGTTGACTGTCTTCCACTCATCATATAAGTACGAGTCATCTTGCTGGTTTTGCTGTACTGCCCGCCGCCAGACGATGTCGGAGTAATGCTGCAGTCACATTTACTCCGTCAATTTCCCATGTGATGTCAGTGTTACTGACAATGTTTTGGTCTTGTCCAGTGATGACACATTCCAGCTCTGCTTGGTTGTTGCTGAAAATTACTTTAGCACTTGGCTGTTTCAGTGTCACCGTGATAAGAGCTACATGAGGGAGAGCAACAGAGAAAAGGGGTCGCAAACATTTTTTTCAAGACTGAAAAATCTTGATTTTATGTTTATGTCATGATTCCTCCAGCAAAAATGACTTTGCTATCGATGCCAAGTGAAGACACTCAGGCCCTGGTCTGCACAATTGAGGACAGTCACAATGGAACATTTGAATCATTTAAATGGCAAAAGAATGACGCAGATTTGAACGACTACATTCAAAGTCCCATCCTAAAAACTGGAGGGTTATATTCAATGATCAGTGTCCTGAAAGTCAAGAACACAGATTGGGACAGCAAAGCCGTTTACACCTGTGAGATAAAATACAAGGGAAAAACGTATACAAGACAGACCTCAAAAGGTACAGTGATATTGCATCTTGACATTAATGACATGACATAAACATAAAATCAAGATTTTTTCAGATCTTGAAAAAAATGTTTGCGACCCCCCTTTTCTCTGTTGCTCTCCCTCATGTAGCTCTTATCACGGTGACACTGAAACAGCCAAGTGCTAAAGTAATTTTCAGCAACAACCAAGCAGAGCTGGAATGTGTCATCACTGGACAAGACCGAAACATTGTCAGTAACACTGACATCACATGGGAAATTGACGGAGTAAATGTGACTGGCAGCATTACTCCGACATCGTCTGGCGGCGGGCAGTACAGCAAAACCAGCAAGATGACTCGTACTTATGATGAGTGGAAGACAGTCAACAAAGTACGCTGTTCTGCCATTAGAGCACATATGACACCAGTTATTCAAGATCTGACTGTCCACAAAGGAGGTATGTTACTGAGGGATGGAACAGTAATCTGTGAACCCATGGGGAGGCAGCCAACTTACACACTCAAACATGTAATACAGTAAAGCAAATGTAAATCTTATATATGAAGCACCCTAGTAAACCAAGTGTCTCTTTCAGATGGCAGTCAGCCAGAAGTGTCAGTCAACATCCTCCCAGTGGAGAACATCGGCAAAGAAGACTCAGCTAAGGTCACTCTGGTGTGTCTGGTCTCCAGTCCTGTGCAGCAGGATTACTACATTGCGTGGTCAGAACATGATGGACAAAAATCCCCCATCTATGCTGATGGCGTTGACTTCCCGCCACAAAAGACCGAACATGGCTACTCAGTCACAAGTGTTTACACCACCACCAACAAAAACTGGAAAGCGAATTTCATTTACAACTGCAACATCAAGTCTGCTGGCACAAATCGCTCCTTCAACTCTCAAGTGTCTAAGGCTAAGGCCATGGGTAACTCAATTGAATGTGACAAATAGTGGATTCAGCTATAAATGTTGTGTTTTGTGCTAGTATGTCATTATGTCTCTGTGTATACTCCCTGACATGGGAACCTGTGTCATCAATCTTTGTGATTGTGCATATAAGAGTCAACATGTCAATTCAGTTTTGTTTGTCCTGTTATTGTGTTTGTCACATTGTCTAACAGCTTGAGAAATGTGCTGACCGTTTTAAATAAATGTTGCATGGAGACACTTTTGTTATATTTTCATGAATGACTTAGATATTTTTAAAACAAAATGAGAAGCAAAGCACAAAAAATCCCTTTGTATGAGTAGTTTTCACTGAAGCCTCACAGTAGTAAACTGCACTGCACCACTGTTTAACTGAATCAATGTCGACACATGACAGTAAAGAGTGAATCATGCTTTATTCCAGTTGATTAGCACTATTTAAGAAAGGCAATGGTGTCTATGATATCTTACTAAAAATCTTTGTTAACACACACCACAAACACACACATACAAACATACATCCAGCGTCTAACCCCTTATACCTTCCTCTTCTTAAATATTCCTTTAGATTCAAATCTGAATTTTGCTCTGAGCTGCACAGACGATGCCGGTGAAGAAGATGAGTTCAGCAGTCTGTGGTCCACAACCTCCTCCTTCATATTTCTCTTCATATCATCTCTCTTCTATAACATAATATTCAGCTTGGTCAAGGTAAACATGACAGCTTTTTCTGCATTTCATCCATATTGATTTCCACTTTGTATAATTTCAAGAGTGCAATGCATCTTCCTAAAAAAGGGAGACCCTGGTAATGCAAATGAATGCATCCATTTAGCTTAATAAAGTTAGACAGAAGAGACAGAGACTAAGATAAGAAAACTCAAATATGTAATTGATTATCACCAGTATGAGAAAAGTTAACCAGTACCAAATCATAATTTCTGTCTAGTGTATTGCTCTATATGTTTTAGTATACAGTAGTGTTTAAGTAAAAGAAAAAAAATGTTACAGGTATATTGTGTTGATTTTGATGAAAACAATTACATAAGTGTGAAATGAATCACTTTCAGTGCATTAGGTGTTTTCAGCAGAGTTTACTGGTACAGCCAACCAGCACAAGTTTGACTTTAATGAAGAGCATTTCCAGCCACAGAAAATGTTCTCTGTGTGTTTTAAATGCTTCATGGCGCATAATGACATGTCACTAAGAACATCACAGATATTATCTTGAAGTAACCAACTTACATCAAGTTACCGTGTCTCAGTGTCTGAGGATAAATCGTTTTATCCAAGTTCCTAAAGAATGTCGCTAAATTGAATCAATCATTCAGTCCAACACTGAGGACACAAAGATCATTTGGGTGTCCATTCTCCAGCTGAGTGAAACAGTTCAATAACCTGTATTTGACAAGTGAATGTAAATTTTTAAACTGATTTGATGTTTTTTTTTTCAGATGAAGAGAGGATAAAGGATCAGACTGATACACAGCACAGACGACTTCATTTGCTTTCTTGTACATCAGCAATAATCTATTGTCTATTTGCTAAATAAATGGTCACTATATATAATGATTAACTAAGTAATTGAAAATTGATTTCTCTGTAGCCTGTAGAAAAAGTAAAAAGTACAATTACAATTTGTAATTACTTACATGAATATATTTTCCTGCATTGGGTCCTGTTTTTATACTATGATCACAGATGTTTTTTGTTATGTTTCTTGGACACGTCTCTAAAATGTTTTAACTTTTCTTGTTATGTATAGAACAACTTGTAGTTCTATAGCAGAGAGAGATGTTTTCTGTACATGGTTTTGCATTTCATAGTTTGACTAAATCTTTGCTTTTCACGTTTGGTCATTTTGTTGATAATATTTGCTTTCATCGGTAAATCAGTAGAACTTACACACAGGGATCTAAGAATATCTGAAAAGAAAACCACTGCAAGTCAGCACACCATAAACTTGTGTTATCAGTTAAGCTCTGAAGGTTTTTCAGTTCTATGATGTTTCTGAAAATATCATCTTTAGAGAGCCACTTCCCCCTCTCTCTGCACCTCTGGGACCACAGCTGCAGCAGTGAAACTTTGTAGAAACCGTCAGAACTATAAATAAACTTCCTCAAAGCAACAGGCATGTCTGTCAGTGTATAGATTTGCATTTGAGCGTGTGAAGTAGCTCACATGCAGACATCAGACATCAGAAAGCAGCAACATAGTGTTAAAATATAATGAAACAGAATCTGCATAGCCTACCATAAATTTTCAAAAATGTGGAAGTTAAGAATATTTACTTTATTATCTCTATTCTAATTATTTTTCACAACATATAAGTATATTATAATTGAATCTGTTTTTTCTGTGCAGTGAAAAGCTTTAACCTTGTATTCTTGAATGTAGCTCACGCAAGGTTGTACAGCTTACATCTTGAACCACTAAGTGTGGTTCAACTAATGAATTCAGGAAAACAATTTAACCTGTCGACTTCAATAACCTTAAAACACATGAATAACTACAAGGGCACTAATAGGGCACAGACCTCGCCAAGGTCAATGTCAAACAACATACAACAGAAAAAAAAATCAAATTCATAGGAAATTATCCAGATCTACCCCAAATATGATGGGTTCGACCATGGCCAAATCGTTCAGTACTTTTTGTGTAATCCTACTAATAAATAAACGACAAGGTGAACACATAACCTCCCAGGCAGGGGTAATGTAGATTAATCACATAGGCCGGTGTCCGGGGGACCTCCGACCTCTAGGGGGCCTCCGAACTCCTACTAACTGTGGCATCAAGCTGTTTTTTTGTTTTTTTGTCATTAAATCACATTAATTAAAGTATTTTTATGTTCAAATACGAACCAATGAATGAAGAGCTACTTTATTTTCCAAATACTAAAAATATTATGATCGGTAATATTATGATGAGTATCATGCGTATCGTGATGATGACGAATGAGGTCGGAGGTCAGAGGGTGACCGTGGAAATTTAGCGGCAAAGTTAGTTTCTCGCGAGAGACGCTTCTTAAAACATGGAGAGTAAATTTTGGAGCGGTGGAGGAGCAAAGAGAAAGGCGAAAAAAGAAAAGGGATTCAGAGAAACTGAAATTCAGACAAACATACCGTCTATCTAGACTTTTTTCAAAAGTCGGCTACTCGTCTTGCTAGCATTAGCAGAGCCGGAGGAGGACTATGCTAACGTCGCAGAACATTAACAACATGAGCTCAGCTGAATATCAGCATGAAACAGAGGCAGAGAGCCACAGCCCTGCGACAGACACCTGTCCACTTGGCCCACCGTCATCTCCATCTGAATAGGGTGAATAAGTTACCAGTTTAGCAGCCCCAAAATGTATTACTTTCTACCTATTTTCCCACATTTTAAAATGAACTGAGAAAAACGGCAACAACAATTGAACTCTTTATCAACACTGCCAACAGAGTCGGACCTTGTCAGGATTTAAATGATGTAGGAGTCTTTGAGGAGAAAGGCCAGAGAGAAGACCTTCACATGAGGTAGGCTTTCTCTCATATTATTATTCACACTATCCTATATCCTACATTTATGTATTCTTCTCTTTAAGGTGTTGTGTTTATACAATGAGAAATAGTTGAGAATCGATTGATTCTGGAAACATTTGACTATTATATAATTGAAACAATATCAGGTCATGGTTACATGATTATATGGTGGAAATCCTGTATGATAGGTTGCATTCATTATTTGTTATAGGTCTTTCTAAGCAGAGCAGTATAAATCGAACTCTGTGTGTGTGTGCGTGTGTGCGTGCGTGTGTGTGTGTGCGCGCGCGTGTTTGATGGAAGAATCTGAATCATAGAACTGTATTAGTGGAGGTTGCTCAAGCTTTTCAGCCATACATTGTAGGCTAGTATGTTGATATTGTTGCTGCTGGCCCAGGAAAAGTATTGTTCCAATCATCAATTGTTAATCAGGTAGGAAACAATAAATCTACAGGTGTTTATATGGTCGTTCAGGTTGTTGTCATAGGCTGTAGCCTGTCAGTTTAAATCCTGCATAAGCTACAGGGATTTCAGACAGATAGTTGCTTCCGCTGAGAACTTGTAATTCAAAACTTTGGATTGTAAGTGTGAGGAGAGCAGATTGGGGGATGCCTCCAAGATTTTGTGCCCAGGGGACTCTGCACTCTTATCCCGGCCTGGTAATATGTCTAAAATGTTCTTCTGGAGAATAATATCAAGCTAACAGATGAACAATTTAACTTGTATTAAAGTGTTTTATAATCTCAGCTTGTTGATGTGCTCGGGGACATTTTGGTTTACATGCCAGCTGGTTAATGGAGATGAGAAAAGTGAAGAAAGACTACCATCTAGTGGGAAAGGCTTTATGGAGATAAAGTGATCTGTCATTTGGTCTTGGATCAGTGACTGGAAAGAACATGTGACAGAAAACACAAAACATTCATATATGAGAAGATTGAAAGATACTGTTCACGTAAATCCACTCAGGCAGTATGACTCATTGTTCTCCTCCATGCAATAGTAATGACAAGTTCCTCTTTTATACACTGGAAAATCCTTAATATGCAAATATTGTAAGTTTTGCTAAACTACTTTAGAATGAGTTCATAGGACCAGATTCATGCAGGCCTACATTAAAACCCTTTCACTGTATTTGCATTAACAACCTGCTTATATAGATATGCAGCTCAAAGCAAGTAACCCAAGTACTGGACTGCCTTCTAGGCTCATTTTGGGAGTGGAGGTGAACTTAAACATGAACCCCACACACTGAAAATGTGGTTGTGCAGCCATCTACTGGTTTTTAGGTGCATTGTCCCCACTCTGTGAATTACAAAACTTAACAACACACTATAGTTTGATGCAATATTACAGCTGTGTGGTCACAGCTCTGTGGAGGAATCAAAATGATGCTGGTGCTAAAATGCAAACAAATTAATTCTAAAGCATTTACTGAGGTTAAGATTCAAATACCACTTAAAAAAGAGATAAAGTTAAAGTGCATTTGCCTTCTCAAAAAATAGTAATAATGACATTAAAAAGTACACACCCAACTCTAACCCCAGAAGATGTGGAAACAGACGGCACTGACTTGGGCCGTGCCTCTCTATTCCAAGGTTAGCAGCAGCCAAATGCATACTTTTGGACATGTTTTTCACTTGCCATAATGCAGTAGCAGTCAACCAAAAATCCGCCATTTTCTGTTTGCTCTTTATTTAATGTTATAAAATGTTCAATAAAAATTGCGGTCCACTATTGAAGTAGAAGCTGCTTCATTAGAGGCTTTAGTGAGACAGAATCACGCTAAAATAAATAAATAGATAAACATAAAGAGAATTGCTCTGTTCTGTTTTTCATTTGTGTAAATAAATGTCCCTGTCCTGTATCAAAACCTATTCAATAGAAATCTCCTTTGTTTTCCTGACCAAAGTCAGAAAATGGTGTGATCTCGGTGAAGTGTGGTGAGGTTTTGGGACGTGCATGTGTCACTGTGGTTTACTAGTAGCTGGAGTTACAACACCGTGTTACACACCATAACAAAAACCATGCTGTAAAAACTCATCTGTCTTTCTCCTGTAATCATAAAGCAAAGCTCCCAGTGAATGATGAGAATATCAGATTAACGTCAAAGGATGTATTGGTAATTTTGAATTACATTTCTGAGTTATTGAGAAAGCAGAGTGATGAATGTGATATAAGATGAGTCAGTGACTGTGCAGAGAATTCTGATCTTAACCCAGACTCTCATTTACCAAAATGAATGAACGTATAAAACATCACTGTTCTAAAACCAGATACAATTCAATACTATAGACCTGTAATGTAATAGTAAGTGTTTGTTGACCCTGTGACGCTGCTGATTAAACTCTGTGGTAATTTATGAGGCCACAGTTAGTGGTGGTGTTGTATTTCATTATTCAAATCGCAATATGACCAAGTGCAATTTCCAAATTGCGGGAGCTGCAATTTTTTTAATAAAGGTAAAATGTGTCACAACATTGTTGTGCATTTTGAGCACCAAAGGCGTTGTGGTGCTACAGGGATGCCCCGGCCTAAAAATCATAATCTCCATGCGTAAAGAAACATGTTTGTTTGGTACAAGATCCAACAAAAATCACATCAACTATTTTAGATTTTTTTTAAGTGAAAATGAAAAACAAAAATTACCATTCCAACTGAAATCACAATATCTGCCAGTATAATCGCAATATGACTTTTTTATTTTGCATATCGTGCAGCCCTAATACTGAGGAGTGTTTTCAGTATTCTGTCCCCTGCATGTATGCAAGTAAGATTGATTTTAAATATTTTTTCCATCTCTTCAAACTGTTCATGTTTGTTTAACGAAGACACTTGAAACAGTGTGGGGAAGCGTTTGAAAATGTAATTTATTTGTATCAAATTATATACACAGCACTAAAAGTAGTTTATATTATTCATATACAGTTAAGAGGCTGCATTAAAATACAGTGTCTGAAACATAAGAAAACCTCACAAATACAATGTTAATTTTTCGCAGACATTGCAAAAAAAAACAAACATCACATTCACTATGATAATAAAGTAACCGAAACACTGTCACAAATCATTTGTATGTTGTTCATTTATAATCCAGTTAATTAACCCTGCCATTGAAGAATGTAAATTCATAAAATGAGAAATCAAGTACTTACTATAGTCATTAAAATCCCATAAAAGGTTTTATTTTATTTTTTATTATTTATTATTTTTAACTTTTTAAATAAAAAGAGGAACAGCTGTTCTACTGCAGAGAAGCGTATGACAGCTACACCGTGACACTGGTTTTTGCATTTTGGTGCATCACTGTGTCCTGGGATGGCCACAATGATTCATACATTACAAAAACCTCTTATGGGAAGAATGAGAAATGAAGTCATGAGTCATGTAAAGACTCAGTACAACACTAAGAGACTGTGCCTTTATTAATTTGCGGTCTATCTTATTTTTATTCCTTTTAATTGTTGTATATGTCTTATTTTTTATTGGTTTAATTATTATTTTATTTAATCATATTTTATTCCTACTTTTTTATTCCTACTTTTAAATAGTTTCAATTTACATATCTTTTGTACTAATTGGTTGTTGGTCTTTATTTTATTTTATTAATGGTTTTTAACTCATTTATGTGTTTGTTTTCATTTGTTTTTAATGTTTTATCTTTACACTATCCACATAGTTTTTATGGTTGCAACTTCTGTAATGACTCATGCTTTACGCAGAACATTGTGCTTCCACCTGGAATGAAATGTGCTATATCAATAAAGCTTTGTTTGCTTACAGCCCAACTCCATCATATACTGTAGACTTCCAGTGAAACCGTGGTGAATGTTTTATGTGTGGACAGTGGACACACCAATGGACAAGAATATTCTGCAATCTTGTTATCAGTCAAAGATTTGCACAGACTGTGCAGAGGCAACAAAGCATTCAGAGTTGATGTGACTCATTGTCTCTTACATATAATAGCCAACCTGATATGGTACTAAAAGAAATAAACTATAATCATATTTACAGACAAAATAAATTATTATGGGCTGACACAAATTTGTTGTGTTATCTAATTTATTAAATTAATTTAAACTATGATGATCAACATAGCACAAATACTACAAGACTTTAACTCACCATCAATAAAAAAAATTTAAAAGCCATGAAAAGTAAAATCTTTCCATGATCATTTTAATTGGCACTAAAAGAGTAAACAGAAGGCTGCCATACAATTCTTCATAGTATATACTGCATAGAACATAACAAAACCCAAAATACAATTTTAAGTGTTTGTTGGCACTGCAGACAAGGACACAAATATATGATCATACAGTATTCATCAGGTACAGGTACTTACAGTTGTCATTACAGTCCCACAGTGATTCTGACTTTGAATTATTGAAGTGAAAAGATAGAGACCTGTTGTATTGTGTACTGCAGCAGTATGTGGCAGCCACACTTTGACACTAGTTTTTGCATTGTGCTGTATCACTGTGTCCTGGAGTGGCCACAGTGATACACACAATTACAAAAACCTCTCAAGAGAGGCAAAGGTCTTTATACTGTAAATGGAAGGTGTATATAACACTCGGTGCAATCCTAAGAAGCGCTGTTTTTATCATTATACAGTTAGCCCTAGTAAACATCCCATATGATTCACTTTGTCATAAATACAAATTATGGATATCTACTACTTTAAAGACTTAGTAATTGGATACTGTTTTTATGTCACTCACAGTAGCACTATTGCTTTGATGACCAAAATAGAATCTAAAGATGACTAGCTAAATTGTTTTGTTTTTTTCATTCAAAAATTAAGGGAAAGTCATTTCTCCAAGGATTTACTGCGCAATGTATATAATTAACTTTATTTATATGTTTATTCTTTTAATTGTGAAGTGCCAGTTTTAGTAAAATATACAAAACTACTAAGACTTAATCAATAAACAATGAGAAATAGTCATTAACAAACTGTTGCACTGCTTATTCCTTTCACCTTATTTCATCTTAACATTACTTCTTACACTACAGTTAAAAAAAACAAACAAAAAAAAAAACACATTGTTTAAGGTAAAAGCATTTGTGTGTCTTCATTGTTAGTGAGCAGGGTGGAGTATATGTTCAGAGTTATATCATAGTGCAGTATAACAGCAACAGTGATACATACAAAAACCCCCTTCCTCTAAGAAGGAAATGGTGTCAATTCAGAAAAACACGTTGGTAGATGAGACTTTTCTCCTGCCAGTATGTGTTGAACAAAACTCGCCTGTATCATACTGTATGTGTGTATGTATACCAAATGCGTGGCAATACTTGTCAAGGTATTTCACCTAAGTCAGTCTTAGAAAAATCATTAATATTTCTCATCTGGGGACCATTAATGTTTTTTTTTTTTAAAAAACGCGTTATCCATCAAATGATTGTTGAGACATTTCAACCTGGACCAAAGTGATGGACAGACCAACCAAGAGACCAACTTGGCTGTCCCTAGAGCCATGCCACTAACATGGCTGAAAATCACCAAAATTTAACAAATGTGA